ACTGCGCGTAATGCGCCCTCTAGCGGCTGGATGTAGGATAGCATTTTAAATGACAGGTACAAAGATAGAATCACAACAAAACACAACAACAACTGGGCTGTTTTCCCCAGTTTAATTCTGATACTATTTTTTACTAGAAAGCTATTTTCAACTTTCTACGCGTGTGTGTGTGTGTGTGTGCACATATTTTACAAATTAAATAGAGTAAACAATAAATAAAATATATAAAAATATACAGAGTTGAGACATGTGCAAAACAGTGGCATTACTGTACAGTATGGAGTGCATAATGTTAAAGTTCCAGTAGTGAAGCTGATGTGTCTATGACGTGTTCAGCAGTCTGATGGCCTGGTGGAAGAAGCTGTCTCTTATTACATGTTACTCATTACTTTTCTTAAAAGTAATGCAGTATGTTTCTTAATTACTTGCCATGACATCATCATTACTTCATGAAATGACCTGAAATGTATTGTTTCATAATTACTAGGTAATAATGTAAACCTATACACACCAACACAAATTTATATTTTAATCAGGATGCACATTTAATCTTTCTTCTAGTGTTTATGATTATTCGTCCAGAATTGCTGTGCGTTGCTGACCTACAGCAGACAAGAGCTTCTGGACATCTGGACTCATAACTCCAACAGTTTTATCGCCGATCTCCGACTCATCCCAGAGATCTCCAGAACACCGGAGGCTGCCCACTCTCCCCAGCCGGGCGGAAGTGCACGCAGACGGCGCCGAGATTGTAAACAAAGGCGAGGTAGGCGTGGAGGGCTACGGGCTAAGCTAAAGCTAACACCACACCAGCTGCCTTTACCCAGTATTTTCCTCGCCAATGTCCGTTCTCTGGCAAACAAAATGGATGAGATACGGCTCTCCATCACTAACAACAGACAGATTATGGACTCAAATGTCATGTTTTTCACCGAAACATGGTTGAACAACAGCTGCCCGGACAATGCTATCGAGTTAGCAGGACGCCACACACACCGAGCCGACAGGCTAGCCGATGACTCCGGCAAGACCAGAGGTGGAGGTTTGTGCATTTATATTAACAATGCTTGGTGCATGAACTCCACTACTACTGAGAGTCACTGCTCACCTAATGCGGAGTTTTTAATGGTAAAATGCAGACCTTATTATCTCTCCAGAGAACTCACTTCGATCATACTCACTGCCGTGTATATACCCCCCGACTAGGGTTGCCAACTCCCTGAAAAATAAATAAGGGACACCTCGTGGCCAGGGCCGGGCGACCCAGTTGTCTTCACCCTTCCCAGTGTGGTGAATTTTCTAGCTCTTTTTTTGTGTGTGAAATTATTTTTTTTAACCCTTTGACTTGAATTTGATTTAAGTAGATGTGTATTCTTTGTGATATGAACACATGTGAAACAAATGATCATTTAGCCATTTATTTTTAGCTCAAAATGGCAACATTAACACAGTAAAACAGGTCTCTTTCTTAAACAGAAGCCTGTCATGCTTAACTTTTGAGAATATAAGTAAATCTTTCTTTAAAAGAACTTTGTCCTGCTTAACTTAAAATAATAGAAAACAATAGAAAGAAAAAATATTCTTGTAACAGTGCACATTTAGTGCATTTAGTACAATTGGCTTCAGCTGAGGTATTATTTCAGCTTTTCTAATGCTAATCAGCTGCTCCCGTTTGAAAACCCGCTTGTTCCCATGATTACGCATCTTAACTCATCATCATTATTCATCTATGTATTACTTTTATGTATTAGTCATCTATTTGTTGTAATCATCTATCCTTGCAGTCGTTTATTACACAAAATAAATTATATTATCACACTTCTGGCCACATAGCGCTGATATTCACTGCACATGCCCATATTAACTTTTTCCAGCCAGGTGTTTTCCTTTTCCCATTCTTCCCTTTCTCTGAGGGGAACAAACATTGCTGCTCTAACGCTGGGCTCACACTGTGCGGTTTTAGGCCCATTTTGAGCCGATTTTTGAGTGATCGGACCGATTTTGGCCTTCATCGTGTAGTATACGTGGGGTAACGAGAAGTGATTAACACCTCACGACCAGCTCCCGATCATCAATCGCTCGTGAGCCGCTCACACTGCTCGCGCGCAAACACGTAAACGCAGTGAAAAAGACGGAGCAGCACGGCTGTGCAGCGTGTGATCTGGACACAAGCGATGGAGGCACAACTTGTAGAACTTTGAAAAGCTCATCCGAGCCTTTTCGATGTGGCCTCACAAAATTATCACGACCACAACAACCGTGAAAATAGTTGGATCTACATCGCTGCTAAATCACAGCTGCCTGATCATGTTTTTCATTAGCAATTTAGCAAAGTTGATGGTGGTGGTGGTGTGTCTGTGTGAGTGAGAGACAGAGAGAGAGAGCGACAGATTTTCTGTTATAACCTTAATTTTATGGACGCACAGTGTGAGCACTCAGGTCGCATCAGAGCATCGGGCGGTATAGTGTGAGACCTGCATCGTGACCTGCAAACTTCTAACCCCTGCGAGTCAATCGTGCAGTTTGAGCAGGAGCTGAATAACGCGACTGAAAAAATCGCACAGTGTCTGCCCAGCTTTAGGTGTACTGTCGTCCGAGACTTGCACCGCAGTGACGGCGTTTGTTCCCCTGTTGGCCATGCTTGTTGTTGTGGTCATCTGTTGTCTTCCGGTATTTTCTCCGTAAGCGACCTTTCCTCGACCAATGAGATGAGCGTTAATCTGAATTGTCATACTCGAATTGTCATAAGTGTGCTGTCAGCTCATTGGTCACAAAGCAGGAGAGGGGCTGGGAATTATGTTTTCAAACAAAGCGTTAATTCCATTAACATTTATAGACTACTTTTGATTCTCACTGTATTACGGGACAAAGTGCGTCCCTTATTAGCTCAATACGGGACGTGTACTTTTGTTTCTAAATACGGGACGATTCCGTATTTTAAGGGACGGTTGGCAACCCTACCTCTACCACACATTACACGAGAACACACTAGTCCGCGTACACACGGTAGCATCCATTACAGGGAGAGTGCGAAGAAGAACAAAAAGGGGGTGACACACCAGTCATGAGACAGGAGGCGCCGCCAAGTGGTGATACACTGCATTACAATAGCAACTGTTACATCATGGAAACTGTAATGAACTGGCTAATGTTTAACTTTGAATTTTTCCCATAGGTCTTTTGCAGAAGGTCCCTATAGACAAAAACTAAATGGGAAAAATTGAGCAGGGTTAGTGTCACACTAATAAAGGAATATGTCTGTGAAGGTTCTCAGTCATCCAGGTCATCATAGTCAAAGGAGCTTGCAAAGAAAAGCGTCTGGACTAGTGGGAGTAACTCCCACTAGGTTTATATCTGGGACTCTCCACCATTTGACCTTAGAACTGAAGAAGCTTTTCGGATGAGAGGTGAAACGTCTTCAAGCAACTTAAAGAAGTCCAGACACTTTTCCTTGCAAGCTCCTTTCACTAATAAAGGAATGTAACTGTCATTTCTCATTTGAATGAGAATATTCATTTAGAGGAAATCATACGGGATTGTGTCACAGTTATTACTTACCTAATTATTACTTCCCTGAAAACTGATATTTAAAATTCTGTAAGTAGTTTAACAAAATTTTGACTTTCTTATATCAGTTCTGAATCCATTCACCATACAGCTTACCAGCAACACAGTCTTGATTGTCACTGCCATCTAGTGAGTAGCCGAATGAAATGAAATGAAATGAAGCAGCTGCTTCATGTCATTAGGAAGATTGCTTTTGCTTTAGTTTTTATTTCAGTTAATAATTATAAGAAAAATAGTTATTAATGAAATGTACTGTGCAACTTGCATGCTGCTTTTTGGTCTTTACTTTAGTAGGTGAATGTCAGTTGATGTTATTAGAGCTGTGGCTGTTAAACAATATCTGTCAAGTGTCTATTAAGTGATAGAAGTAAAAACAAAATGGTTCCGAGCAAGGTGCTCCATCCTGACATGTTGTTTTGCTTTAGTGTGATGTGAATATCAATATATGTTTACTGAGTCACAGCTGCTTAACTTCGAGACCCTATCCTCACATGTCATGCTTGACCTGTGAGGATTACAGCAAACACTTTTTCAGTGTGTCATCACATACAAAATACACTCATTCAAATCAAATCAAATCAAATCACTTTTTATTGTCACATCACATGTGCAGGCACACTGGCAAAGCACATGCGAGTGAAATTCTTGTGTGCGAGCCCCACAAGCAACAGAGATGTGCAAACACAACAACACAAACGAGCAAAATACAAGAATGGCCAACCTGAAACTAATAAATATATGTACAATATATAATAGTGTATGCATTTCTGGATGTGTATACTAAATATTTTCCTACGTGTGTGTGTGTGTGTGTGTGTGTGTGTGTGTGTGTATACACATTTTTACAAATTAAATAGTAAAAAAAAATAAAAAAAATAAATAAATTAATAATAATAATAATAATAATAAAATATATAAAATATACAGAGTTGAATATGTGCAAAACAAGTGGCATTTATATACAGTGTGGAGTGCATAATGTTGAAGTTCCAGTAGTGAAGCTGAGGTGTCTATGACGTGTTCAGCAGTCTGATGATTCAGTACCAATTATTGCTCTTATTAAGGAGCAGACCACTTAAACATTAAAGGATTTACTGACTCACTCGTCAGTGATCATAGTAGTCAAAAGATCATTGCATAAGGAAGACATGGTGGGGGATGCTATATTGAAAATGAAACAAAAAATCCTGATTATCTGTCATAAAAATTGATGAACACTTACTTTTTCGTGATGTAATGTTTTTATTAAACAATATCATAAATTAAACAATTCAACAAAAACTACTTATGTTAATATAAAAGAAGAAAATCATTGAGTTTTATCTCAAGATCACTGTTTTCATACATAGTTAGAGATCATTAAACTACTCTGAATCTGAATCTCACTTTCTCTCGCTGTCGTGGGCGCGGTTAGCGTCATGACGTAGGTTGCTGCTACGTAAACCGTTCGGCGCAAAAATTCAAACGCTGTACAGGAAGAAATTTGCTGCTTGTTCTTTCTGTCATATTACAACTTATAACGGGTCTACATAAGTCTCCGTCGGATTTAAGGCAATTCTCGGTACGTTTCGGGGCTGAAGCAAGTCTTGTGATAAAGTTTTTATTTGTTAGTAAGCCTGCTAACGCTAACTGTAAGAACACGTTCATACCGAAGTTAGGGTTGTTATGCTAAAATGCATGTAATGTTAGCTTAGCGTGAGCATGTAAGTGCGTTTGAGCTGTACATGTGTTTCTTTCGTAATTATTTTACTAAACTAGCTTACCAAATATGTTGTGCTAAGATGGCGTTTGCTTTCTGAAAATTGATTTTAATTGAATGTATATAACCTTTTCACTGGTTTAATACTTTATTGTAGAGTTCCTTTGTTTATATGCGAGTAGCGTTCAAGCTAAGTTAAACTGATGGAAATCCAGAATAAAGTCAATGGGAGTCTACAAAAGGAAGGATTCGCTGGCTGTGCTATACTAATAAATGATGAACCCTTAAAGTAATCAACGTTGTTTCGGTAGCAAACAGGCAAGATTAATGCGAACTTAACTCTAGCATATCGTGCTTGCATAACCAGAGCCAACAATAAGAGTTTCTTGTATTTTTTTCTCCCAATTTCTTTGTCATCATAAGATCACATTCTCTCTTCTTATTCTCATTAGTGACTTTTAAACTTGGCATAAACTTTGTTTTCCTTTATAAGTTCCAAACAGCTGTAACAACACAAGCACAGCACTTTGTAAAAACAGCTGTTTCAGAGTTATGTTAGCATCAAATATATACCTTAATTCCTCATCCCGTGGGTTGTATTGACAGATTTCACCACCGAGATCCATTGAGTTACTTTTAATATTTTTCCTAAAGATTTTATTTGGGTTGATTAGAGGAGTTTTTTACATGTAAATTTTGGTTTTGGCTCAGTTAACTACAACAAATAGTTAACTGAGCCAAGTTAACTTTCTCTCCTGCTTCAAATTGATATGTGTACGGTACATTCAGAGCACTGAATTCTGCGCTTTAAGCACAATTTTTTTCCAACCCTCAGTTCAGTCCAAACATCTTTTCCTATCTCCAGCAAAGATGAGCGCAGCCTCCACACCCGTCTCCCGGGTACGACCAGGATGGATGTCATCCTGTTTGAAGAATAAGGGTCTGTCCCCTGCAGGCAGCAGCACTCCACTGCTGTCAGCTTTCCCTGGAAACGATGATGAGCAGGAGCGACGTCAGCGTAGGAGGTCAAGAGTCATTGACCTTCAAGCTGCAAGTGATTCCTCCTTAAATGACTCTGCATCTCACAGGTATGCTGTAGATAATGGCAAAACTAAAAGTAATTTGTAAAAACATTTTGTGCCATGGCTTTGACAAATAGTGCCTGGCTGCCTGGCTGCTATGTATCATGTGAGCTCAAAGACAATCTCATTATCCTAATCAGCACTGTGGGAACTCCTGCTGCCGTGCCCAAGTTGTCAAATGCACAGATCTCAGAGCATTACTCCACCTGCATAAAACTCTCCACTGAAAATGTAAGTATTTGTATGTGCATGCATTTTCCTCTTTTTCCCTTTATAGTAAATGTCCTTTGTCTTTCTCTGTGATTAGTAGATGAGAAAATATGACAAAATACAGGAAAAATAAATTAATAAATTACTTTTTTTTTTTATTCTTATCAACAGAAAATCACCACAAAAAATGCATTTGGTCTGCATTTGATTGATTACATGGCTGATATTCTCAAACAAAAGGATTCAGAGCTCACCAACTTCAAGGTATGTGTAACTGATTGTTTCATTCATCATTTTGGTTATCTAAAAGTCTTTGAACTGATTTAAACATTTGAATGAAGCATCATGATAAATTATTTTCTGGTTGTTGGAGAACATAGAAATGTCGTTTGTTTTTTGTTTTTTAAGTGTGTTTAAAATATCAGGAAAATATATTTCTTAGACTCAGCACCCACCTGACTTGTTTAAGTTAGGCAGGTGCTAACACCAGTTTGATTTTAATTCAGGGAAGCAGAATTTATACAAAATTAAGGCTGCATTCTGTCCAGTGTGGTCTCTCATCTCACAGGCAATAAGTTCACTCATTCTGAGAAAGTGCAGGATTGTGTATTAACCTAGAGTATCTGCAGGGGTATTGTGGTGTAATTACTTCAACATATGAAGGGTCCTATAAAAGGTGATGTCGTACACTGTGAAATATGTATTTATTATTAAGTTTTGCAAGTAGTATCCTTCAATATTTACATCTTTTCATCCTAAAGGTGGCAGCTGGCACTCTGGATGCCAGTACGAAAATCTACGCTGTGAGAGTGGATGCTGTTCATGCTGATGCCTACAGAGTGCTGGGTGGTCTGGGTGCTGAAACCAAACCTGGAGAGGGTGAGAGTCTCTGTATTGTTGTTGGATTTTTCTTTTAACCGTACTTGTGCTGTGGCTTGAGCTTTCTGGCTTTTTCTAACACAGTTTTAAAGTTGTTGAACCCACCTTCCTGTACTATTGAACATTTTCTGCTTTTTTTGAATTCCTTGTGCATACACAGGCCATGGTGCAACAGAGGAAGATGGAGATGATGCAGGACTTGCAGGAGGTGAAGTCACTGCCAAACAGCCAAAGAAGAAAAGGCCTCCCAAGAAGACAGTAGAGCAAAACCTCAGCAACATCAACAGTGCTGAGTCTGAAAGGAGATGTGAGGTATGTAGAGGTCTTAGCAAAGTAACTAAGATAATGCGCACCTCAGTTCTTCTTTTTTTTTTCTTTTTTTTTTTTTTGTACTTTTTGAAATAACAGAAGTATCGTTCAGGGCTTCTGGACCACTATGCCAATGACTAATCATGGGAAATATTCCTGCTTATTGCTTATGTCATGCAGCAATAAGCAATAATAGAATATAGCTATCGATGTATAGATCCAGGAATACAGCATTTGGGTTAAATGAGAATGAATTGAAAACAACCTTTGCAAGATCTAGGCTCATTAATGCACATAAATGAACAACACTAAAAACATTCAGAGGTTTGTTTTGTTTTCATTTCACTGTTTGGATTTTGGGTCAAATCATTCTGTTTTGTAGCCAACAGACTCAGCTATGTTGTTATCTTATACCACTAGAATAGAAGATGCAACTCCCTCGAAATGCAGTACACACCCTCACTCCATTAAAATAGGTGAAATGCTTTAAACTGATATATATAATATAGAAACAACAAAGACCCAGAGAGAGGTAGATCTCTATTTTTATGCCAAATGTAATTACCATCGATACGCAAACAGTGCTGTAATCTAAGTAAGCAGTACTTGATTCTAACCAAGGAAACTATACTTTGCTAGTTTCTTCACTTAAGGTAATGTAGCTGTTTTAACAGCTGATATATGTGATGGGTTTTGAACATGAGCTGAAAGTATATTCATTAGGCTTGGGCTATTTATGAGCTTAGATTTTTGTTAATTATTTAATTAATTAAATCCTTATTGATATGAACATGCTTCAGCTGTGATTATATTACTTGAGGAAAAAGTTAGTGTACAGGAGAATCAGTAAAAAAAAAAACAGCCTTCTGTTTTATTTCCTGTACAGAAACTCAATGTTCAACATGATAAGCTGGAAAATACAAATTTATGAATACTGCTTACTATTTTTGGTGTTGTTATATATTTAGCAGTCAAATTAAGAACGATCTTACTGTTTAGAACTGGAAAAAAAGGGTGGCACAGTCCCCGTACCAAATTTTTATATGCATTTATGTGCAGAGGTCTCTTTACTAAATGTTAAACAACTTCAGCATCACTGCTAGAGTTAATGTTGGATTACTATCATGGATTACGGCTTAAATCCACTGATGATTGATACGTTTGTTTGATTTAGATCAATAGTTAAATTAGATGTTGTCTTAGAAGACACCTCGAGGGATTTTTCTTTTCTTTTTTTTCATTACTATCACAGCATCACTTTGCCATAGTAATAAGCTTAAATGCCTCTTAGTTGATATCAAGCTAGGTTGTGTTTATGATAAACTTTCTGTCTTCCCCACAAAGGTGGACCCCATGTTTCAGCGGATGGCCTCATCCTTTGATGAGAGCAGCACAGCTGGGGTCTTCCTGTCAGTTCTTTTCAGTGAGAGCAGTCGCTGCGAGCTGCTCTTTCCATCCCACATGACCCTCCTGCAATCCAGACCTGCCTACTCTCCTCCATCTCCACAGGGGGTCCCAGCATCCCCATTCATGGGTAAAAGTCTTTCAATAAGCCCAATAAATTCATTTACACTTGGACGTTAAATATTGTGCCGCTAGTTGGATGTTCATAAGAACCTTAATAATAATGGATTTATATAGCGCTTTTCAAGGCACCCAAAGCGCTTTACAATACCACTATTCATTTACTCTCACATTCATACACTGGTGGAGGCAAGCTACAGTTGTAGCCACAGCTGCCCTGGGGCAGAAGCGAGGCTGCCATATCGCGCCATCGGCCCCTCTGGCCAACACCAGTAGGCAAGTAGGGTAAAGTGTCTTGCCCAGGGACACAACGACCAGGACAGAGAGCCCAGGGATCGAACCGGCGACCTTCCGGTTACAGATGCGATTCCCAACCCCCTGAGCCACGGTCGCCCCCCTTAGCACTGTATCACTGTCATCCTTCGGGTTCTCCCAGAAATGAAAACTTGTCTTTCTGTAACATGTCACTCGCAGCTGGACTGCAGCGTTCCCAGGAGAAAAGCTCCGTCTGCCCCTCACTGCAGGACTTCTCGTTCACTAGCTGGAATCCGGAGCAGGTAAGAGAAAACGGATCTAGTGCTTATTTCTGTCAGTTGTTTCTGAATACTAGTTGTAATATGATTAGGTTATGGAATTTCCATCCTACAAATCTGATTTAATCCTTTGTAAACTGATCTCCTTTGTTTTGTTCAGTTCTTCACTCTCTTTTAGTAGATACATAAAGGAAACCCTATTTTACTACAGCTCTAGTGTGAGCAACTATTTTTGCTTGCAAAGTAAAAGTCCTTAGAAATGTAAAGTCCTGCAGGTTTGAATTTAATATTCTATGCATGTTCTTTCAGACCATGAATCAGCTCTTAGAGAAGATGAAGCAGGGCGATCATGTGTTTGACGTGAACAATGAGCCTGAGCCAGAGCCAGAGGAAGATGACTGTCCTGACTTTGATGGTGACTATGAGGAGGGAGTGGGTGACTGTGAGGATGGATCAAAGGAACACAAGGAGGGTTGTGAGCCCTCTGGCAAAAGAAGGTAAGATTGAGGATTGGACAGCAGCGCAGGGAAGTCTTTTGTTTGTTTTTTTCCCTTCCTCTTGTCTGTCTCCTAAACCTTTTCTATAAATGGATGGTAAATTTGCTTTCGTTTTTAGTTTGAATGGTTTTATGATGCCATACAGGGATGTGATTCCCATTGGAGAGGGAGACATCGCCACCATGTGCTTGCAGCTGTCCTCTCAGCCCAGGGAGTATTCATACTTCAGCCCCAGGACCATGGCCACGTGGGCTGGACCTGGCTACTGGCAGTTCAAACCGAAACACAAGTGTGAGTGAAATTAAGGTTTTAGCAAAGACCCATTTTAGTTGCAGTAAAAGCGTTGCATTATTGCACCTTATAACAAAATACCAAACTCCAAATTTTCTTTGAAAGTAAATAAAGTAATTTCTGTAAGCTTTCATATTTAAGAAACCATCCACTTTACAAAGCCGATGATAAGCCAGAGACGTTAAAAAGGTTTTGAAATTGTGCTGCTTTTTAAAATATTCCACTTCCCAGCAGTCGGTGGTTACAAAGAGCTTCTGTTTTCATCACACAAAGAAACTCCTCAGCACAACTCCTTAGCTTAACCACACTACTTGCATGTACTACAACAGGTCCTGAGTTATACGCGTCAGTAAGAAACCGACTAGAATAACTGCTAAGGATAAAACCACTCTAGATCTGATATGTCGTTAGTGACTTGTAACACAGTGCCTTCTGAAGCAGAACACGGTCTAAATATTATGTCCTGCTGTGCTGCAGTTGTTAAACATCACAGTGCCATCCTTCAGGTCAGATTTGGCTTCAGATATAGAGATATTTGTGAGATGTGAGCAGACATTAGAGAAGTTGTTACGCTAAACAAGACATGTTACATATTAAAGTTTGTGTAGATGTTGACAGACAACACATCACATTAAAAATTTTCTTATTTATGTTGGTAAGATTAAATGTAGGCTTATGCTACTGCGTTTGTTTTTGAAGTAACATGTCATAAGTAATGCCTGAAATCTATCATAAATGCATTCGGATGCATTATGCTGTCATACTGAAATGATGTTTACAAATTATTATTATTTTCTGTTTTGAGTGATGTGGTAAATTGGGCCTTTTCTCTAACAACTGAGATGGTTTTCTAATGGTTGTCCTTTCTCACTAAATGTGTGCAGTGTAAAAGTAACCTGCCATCTGTAATCTCTGACCATTGTTATGTACTTTTATGTCATACAGTGGATCATTTGCCTGAAAAGGAGACACGTAAAAGGAAGCCCAAAAAGACCTTTGAAATAGACTTCAATGACGATGTCAACTTTGATACCTACTTCCGAACAACAAGGGTAAAAAAAAAAGAAAAAGAAAGAAAGAAAACATCTCTGCTGCTTCTGTCTTTTTTCTTTGTACAGGGAGTGCAGAATTATTAGGCAAGTTGTATTTTTGAGGAATAATTTTATTATTGAACAACAACCATGTTCTCAATGAACCCAAAAAAACTCATTAATATCAAAGCTGAATGTTTTTGGAAGTAGTTTTTAGTTTGTTTTTAGTTTTAGCTATTTTAGGGGGATATCTGTGTGTGCAGGTGACTATTACTGTGCATAATTATTAGGCAACTTAACAAAAAACAAATATATACCCATTTCAATTATTTATTTTTACCAGTGAAACCAATATAACATCTCCACATTTACAAATATACATTTCTGACATTCAAAAACAAAACAAAAACAAATCAGCGACCAATATAGGCACCTTTCTTTGCAAGGACACTCAAAAGCCTGCCATCCATGGATTCTGTCAGTGTTTTGATCTGTTCACCATCAACATTGCGTGCAGCAGCAACCACAGCCTCCCAGACACTGTTCAGAGAGGTGTACTGTTTTCCTTCCTTGTAAATCTCACATTTGATGATGGACCACAGGTTCTCAATGGGGTTCAGAACAGGTGAACAAGGAGGCCATGTCATTAGTTTTTCTTCTTTTATACCCTTTCTTGCAGCCACGCTGTGGAGTACTTGGACGCGTGTGATGGAGCATTGTCCTGCATGGAAAATCATGTTTTTCTTGAAGGATGCAGACTTCTTCCTGTACCACTGCTTGAAGAAGGTGTCTTCCAGAAACTGGCAGTAGGACTGGGAGTTGAGCTTGACTCCATCCTCAACCCGAAAAGGCCCCACAAGCTCATCTTTGATGATACCAGCCCAAACCAGTACTCCACCTCCACCTTGCTGGCGTCTGAGTCGGACTGGAGCTCTCTGCCCTTTACCAATCCAGCCACGGGCCCATCCATCTGGCCCATCAAGACTCACTCTCATTTCATCAGTCCATAAAACCTTAGAAAAACCAGTCTTGAGATATTTCTTGGCCCAGTCTTGACGTTTCAGCTTGTGTGTCTTGTTCAGTGGTGGTCGTCTTTCAGCCTTTCTTACCTTGGCCATGTCTCTGAGTATTGCACACCTTGTGCTTTTGGGCACTCAAGTGATGTTGCAGCTCTGAAATATGGCCAAACTGGTGGCAAGTGGCATCTTGGCAGCTGCACGCTTGACTTTTCTCAGTTCATGGGCAGTTATTTTGCGCCTTGGTTTTTCCACACGCTTCTTGCGACCCTGTTGACTATTTTGAATGAAACGCTTGATTGTTCGATGATCACGCTTCAGAAGCTTTGCAATTTTGAGACTGCTGCATCCCTCTGCAAGATATCTCACTATTTTTGACTTTTCTGAGCCCGTCAAGTCCTTCTTTTGACCCATTTTGCCAAAGGAAAGGAAGTTGCCTAATAATTATGCACACCTGATATAGGGTGTTGATGTCATTAGACCACACCCCTTCTCATTACAGAGATGCACATCACCTAATATGCTTAATTGGTAGTAGGCTTTCGAGCCTATACAGCTTGGAGTAAGACAACATGCATGAAGAGGATGATGTGGACAAAATACTCATTTGCCTAATAATTCTGCACTCCCTGTATATATGAAGCTGTCAAATACATTCACCTGTTCAACTACAGTGACTACTTTTTGAGCCATAGATGACCAGCTCTTCAATCATTTCAGTGTTTCACGTCATTGTGAACAAAGCCAGCCTGCTGCCATGGTTATTATAATAACATCAATCTCATGTACAAATATTAGTAATGGTGACAGGAGGTAAAGCTTAGCATGTTCTGTAGCAGAGTCCAGTGACAGAGTCTGTTTGTCAAGTATGCATCAGGAAACTTGCTGATCTGAGTCTTTTCTTGTGTGCTTCTGCATTGAAACATAACTCTTGTGATTTAACTATAATGATTAAATTCAGTTGAATCTCTAAAAGGTTTTGAAGTTTTGGATTACAGATTTTTGGGAAACTCACCAACCAAACTTTATCTTCCTTTCCTTTCACAGGCTGCCACCACTAACACCAAGTCTGCACTTAGTGCCAGAAGTAAAAAAACAACTCTACCAGCAGATTTCCAGTTTCCTCCAGAGACGCTCTCCCAGCTCAGCCTCAAACCCTCCAGCACAGTAAGACTTATTTCTTTTTACCATTTCAGGCCATACTTTATGTTAGCATTTCATAGTTTAATTAAAATTATTAACTTTTTTAGATACTTCTAACTGTGCAGACATGATTTAATATTTACATCTATTTTCTTTTTAGTGTTTTTTTTAATATGGCTTGCAGTATCACATGGACTTCCTATTTACCTCTGTGAAAATGCGATATCTCAAAAATGATCTCGGATGTGTTTGAATCTCATATCAACTGTTTGTTTTGTTTTTGTTTTCATAAAATTGGGCAGTTTTACAGTCAGTATGTAATTTACTCAATATTTCCATAATTGAGTGCAAGATGTTTGGGACGTATTAATATTGATCAATCTGGTCTTGTTTACTCTAGTTAAGTCCAGAAGGACAGAAGAGGCTGTCTGCAGAGCTCGGAGAAGGCATTGGAGATTATGACTACAACAACGCCAATGACACAGCCAACTTCTGTCCAGGTCTACAGGTCTGAAAAACTCTTTTTAGCATCACTTTTGATTTGATTCTAAGAAAGCTCATTTCAGGTGTTCATTTATCACAAGGGATTACTTCTGCAGGTAGCTCCGCACATTTCATTGGACAGGATTTTAAACCGCATGCCCGGACACATTTCACTATCAATTCTGAATTGATTATATTGTAAAATCTTACTGTTTCTGGTTTATCCAGAAGTGGTTTGGGTTATGAAACACAAATTTTAATCTTAGGGTTGTATTTTGATGTTGCAATAACTACAACAATCACTAGTATATAGATTGTTAGTATTAGTAAAGAAACGACTCGTCTTTGCCGCAACATTTGACATACTACACATGTGGCCTGTGTCTAACCATGTACATTAAATGTGATTATGCAGAACAACAATGTCTATCTCGGGCCCTGTGGCGGCAAACTGGCACCTACTCCCCCTATGTAATACATCAATTTGTTGGAAGACCAATAAATGTATATTTTTTAGTAGAATAACCCCACTTTTTCACCATGTAACCACATCAGTGATTTCTATCCACTGTTTTGCTGTTCCTGTCGTATTGAGTGCAGTCATTTATTCTTGTCTACTGCTAGTATCTCCTCCTGCACAGCCTGGTTGTACTTGGTGTGTTTTTTATTGCATATTTTGCAGGTACTGTGCTGTGCTGGAGTTTGATGTAGTTCCTTATTTAGGTAATAAATCGTGATCAGAGGCTGACACAGGGCTGTCAGTCTCACAAATCCTTGGGCTTGTCTCACTGACTGTGCTAGGAAACAAAAAGACATGGCAGTGCTATAGCAATTATATCTCTATATGATATTTTTATATCAGAGCGACTGTTTAAAACCTTTTCTTTTATGTATCACACACCTGTGACTGACACTACATGGAAACTACACCCTTTCTGCATCAAATCTTGTGGAAGAAGCTAAAAGCAACATCTAACCTGCTGAGGAATGAAAGAATTAACAAATCCCCGTCACGGCAAATCAACAACTGATTAGAAACCACATGTCAAATCTTTATTCATCTTCTGTTTCAGGGAGGTGACAGTGATGATGATGTTGAAGGGTTTGCTGGTTCAGATGACACACAGCCTTCGAGTGACAGCATGCCTCTGCCCTCACAAGATCTCGAGGGCGTGTCCACCTATGGGGAGGAGGATCTGGTACCTGAGCCACACAGGGTGAGCAATGCAACTAGTTTAGTCGTGCTTTAAGTAGCTCTTCCCTTTAGTACCATCTCTGCTCAAAAGCTTCTGCAGTAATATTTTTTATCATACCCCACTGAAAAATAGAAGATGGAACTGAAACAACTGTATGACTTAGGACAAATAGTCATTAATAATGGATATATTATAAGCAGAATTTTTGTTTGTGAACTTCTATAGTTCTACTTTGATTGTTTTTGTAGGTCAACAAGATTGAAATCAACTACGCCAAGACAGCAAAGAAAATGGACATGAAGAGACTCAAGAACAGCATGTGGACTCTTCTGATTGACAGCCCAGAAAAACCCACAGAGGTAAATTACACACCGCGTATTAGCTTCTTTTTTCTGTGGTGCATACAGTGACAAATTTCAGGTTGGTCATGCATCACATGCGGTGGGCACAGTTGTCTTCCAGGCGGCCCTTTTTCACTGCGTTTCTGTTTGACTCTGTGTTTTATTACTTGTTCCTTGGTGTTCCCTGTAGGGGGTGGAGACTGTGGAGAAACCTGAAGTGTGTGGAGAGAAAGTGTTCAGTCAGACCACAAAGACGCTGCTTCAAAGGTATAAGCAGATCTCTTGTCATGTCTGCCATGGCACAGCACTAATGAGGAGTATCAGACCTCACCAAAAGAATATTGGATATAAAATTATGGTTTGAGATACAGAAGTTTCTCTGACAAGCTAGTGTGAAGCTATACACGATCAAATCACGGTGTCACTGAAATACTAATTCCATCAGAATCATGAAAATCATCATTGATGAAATATAAAATTCTCTCTCTCACTCCCTCTCTCTGTCTCTCTCTCACACATATTCAGATTACCAAACACAATGGCTCAGAACCTGTCAGTGGCACTGGCGTTTGTCGCTTTACTTCATCTTGCCAATGAAAAGGTGAGTGTTGTTTGCTGTATGTTTTGTTTATTTGATTTCATTTGTTATTATTATGATGTATGTACTCTCCTCATGTTGGTTTAAAATGAGCTGCAGCATCAAGGGATGAAAAATTAAACCAATGTCAAACTGCACTTCCCATAGCAGCCAGATTGGCTTTAAATGCAAAGGTGGTTAAAGCTAATATGATGTCACCCATTTATTTTGCACTCTGCACCTTGTTGGTTTATTTTGGAGCCAGAAATTATGTCACATGGGTCAAAGCACTGAGTGCTATCACAGCTAATGTTTGTAGTTTGTATATATATATATATAGATATAGCTTTAGCACCAGGAAACTTCACTAAGGAAGGAATTTGGGTGTGTAACTGGGCAATTTATTTTTCAGTTCATTCATTCATTCATTCTTTATTCCCTGAAATAGGATGTCCAAACATTCTCAGTCCTGATTGGCTGGCAGATGTTCCTTAAAGTTACATATCTAGTTCAGCAAGTCCACGGAGTACATTAAAATGTAGGGCAGCCGTGGCTCAGGGGGTTGGGAAGTGCATCTGTAACCGGAAGGTCAACGGTTCAATCCCTGGGCTCTCTGTCCTGCTCGTTGTGTCCTTGGGCAAGACACTTCACCTACCGCCTGCTGGTGTTGACCAGAGGGGCCGATGGCACGATATGGCAGCCTCGCTTCTCAGTCTGCCCCAGGGCAGCTGTGGCCACTAGTGTGTGAATGCGAGAGTGAATGAATAGTGGCACTGTAAAGTGCTTTGGGTGCCTTGAAAAGTGCTATATAAATCCAATCCATTATTATTATTATTACTGCTGTGTCACGCTTAAAAAGTCGTCAGTCCTAATGTTTGTTTTTGTCTTTTTTACAGAATTTGGAGCTGGTGAAGGTTGATGACATGTCAGATATCATCATCAAACAAGGCCACTGAGGGAATTATGAATCATATGAGGCTTACTGCTACTCTTTTCTTCAATTCTCTTCTTTTTCAACTCTTTACTTTGTATATTTTTTTTTTCTTTTTAAACGCTGTCCTGTTTCTATCTCCCGTCTCTACCTGCTTTTATTCTTTATAATTATAGTATGTTTGTTTCTCCTTTTAGTTTGTGCAATTGATGCATATCCTGTGTGTAGCTAATTACTCAACAGCACACAAAAAATGTACATTGTGAACAGAAATAAAAGCTTTTTTTTCTCAAATCTGATGGAGAAATTAAATCCAAAACATGTTACCCCACATTTTCTTGTTCTGTGGCAGTATTTCAGCACACTTAAACAATGGTTTTCAAACAGTTTTCCCAAATTGTCGTAATGCCTTTGATTATTTTTAGCTGCTTCTGATTCAAAGCAGCTTGCAGCAGTCATGACATAAGGGCATGCAATGACCAGTATTCAATCTTCGTCACCAGTTTCACCAGACAAAGAAACCGGTTTGTCAGGAGTCAAGCTGCTGGCTGGGTGAAATTTGTGACACCAGGAGAGGGAGGAGTAACTGAGCTGAGGCCACTGCTGCTAATCTAAGTGCTGCTCTCCAGTGTCACTGTTGTCCCCTTGAAATATTAACAAAAAAAACATAAACAACTACATCCTCCTGTACTATCAGAAATGCATTGTGTTACTTTACAGTTATGTTAAGTTAGAAAGCAAGTTTTTCAGCCATCCTGAACACAAAGTTACAAAAGGTTCATCGCTAAGGGTTTCACCGCTAACATATCATGGGTACATCTTGGTATGACGCCTTCTTTAACAATAGAAGAGGGACTGCCGCCTACAGGTGTTTTTGGAGACAACAAAGGAAGTAAACGTATGCACCTGCAAAATAAAAGCACGGAGGTCGACAATGAAAGTTTGACTCGCTTAAAAATCATTACAATTGTTTTACAGGTAGTGAAAATCAATATGTGAATACGAGTATATAAAATACAATGACGATATTACTGTGTAAAGATTAAAGGAATCATATTTTTTTATATAATCTTTTTTTTCTCTAATGTTTACCCAACCACTTCAGCTGAAAACGATAGGTTGCTTTATTTTGGAAACCAAAGGGCGGAAACGGAGATTGAGTTCACTTAACAGTTGGAAGAAGGCAATTAAGGGAGGAAAGAAAACCACCAGGAAGTAAAACCGAGAGAAACGTATTTGCTTCGAGACTTTAAACTGTTTTTTAAAGGGTTTTAAATCAAATCGTCAACTTTTATAGAAAGTAGATCCATCAGTTTACGGATAAAGGACATTTTTTCCAGCAAGATGGACACTGATCCGGTAGGTGATAACGACCTTTGTTTATGTTGTTCAGAAAGCCTCCCCGCCGTCACCACTTAGTTCAGCGACAGTCTCAAACAGGTGTACTTCCACATAAATCAACCTGTACTTAACTTGAAACCTACCTCGGCTGAAAATAATAAGTCAGCGCACTAACTTTTTCATTTTTGAGGGAGCAAGTTCTAAGTAAAGCAGCTTAACAAAATGGCCTAATTACACACGGTGCTCAGTACGTGTTGGAAATGATTTTTGTAAAGTTGAGATGCGTTTGTTTTCCATAAAAATAAAGCCGCATACTTCAAGTAAACGTTTCCATGTACTACTGTCTATTTATAATACATGTTTCTAACTGATAAAACGGTTGTTTTTCACGTATTTCAAGAATGTTTCACAGGTCGTTGGTGGAGCCAATCGCCTGTAGCCAAGCTCTGCTGGAGCAAGTAGCAGTTTAATGCTAACTTACCTTACAAAATAGATATTATCCACTGGGCAACACATGATGATGATGATGATGATGATTATGATTATTATTATTTCATTAGTAAAGGGGAAAAATAAACTTTTACAGGTAGCGCAGCTAAAGTGGCGTTTATTTGTGCTAAATTAGGTTTACTGCTCTCATGTTTTAACATTATTTAATGTCGGCACAAGAGAGGCGTGTGTGTGTGTGTGTGTGTGTGTGTGTGTGTGTGTGTGTGTGTGTGTGTGTGTGTGCGTGTGCGCGCTTTCCAACCTCTTTCTTTGCCTACTTTCATGTCGCAATGACTTCTATGAAGACTTTTTTTTTTTTTTGCTTTTTTGTTAACTAATAACAAAAAAGGCCACATAATGGACTAATTATAATCTGTTGGCAGTGCTGTTTATTCTGCTGAAAGGATAAGAACGTCCAGGCAGTTCTTTAAATATCTGTAATGACTCAACATTGTCGACTTAAATCAAAATACGTTTCCCTCTAGCCTGTAGGAAAATCTTACTTCCTGTAGTATTCAAATCTCTTTGTGTGTCCTCACAGATTAGGGCAGTTTCCCATTTGCCTACATCAGTGTGAGCAGTAAGGATTGAGTGTTTGAATACATGTTTTGGATTTACAGCTGCAGTCAAACATTTTAACAGGAAATATCTGTTGGAACATTTTAAGGTGTACTTCCTTGATCATTTTTCTCATGCACCAACCACATATTTACAAGACCCCTTATCTGTCAATTTATAAAGAGAGACTGAAGTCACTCAGCTTACAACATATCAAATATTTGAATTAGATGCTTAATGTAGCTGCCCTCTGCAGCTGCCTTGGACACTTTACTTTCTGTTTATTGATACTTGATAGGCATCAGCCATTCAGTGGGCCTGAATGACTGACGTGCTAACACTGGTACAGAGGAATGAGAGAGATTTAACACATGTAATGAAGATATAACAAGAATAAGAAAATTAAAGATGACTCCAGAGTTTGTTTGTTTTTTCAGAAACTTCTTCTGAAAAAGGATGAATGGAAAAGGAGAAAAAGAAAGGAGGGTGGGGTAACAGGAGAGGCGAGAGACACATGACGCAGGAGAACCTGCCCCGTTTCCTAGAGACAGTTTTGTTACAATCTGTTGCTGACTCATGGGACAGAGTGGTCCCTGCATGTTTACTGACACACACCCAACTGCACACAGCATTTATGTGTTGAAATCACATGTACAGCTATGTGAGGTAACAGCTGAAGTTTCTCTTGAATTCACACATGCTCTTAGCAGACTTTCACAGATGTATAAAAGTGATAATTTAACAGCCACAAGGTGCAGCTCAAGGGCTTGTAAATAAATACTGTGGTTACAAATGGGTCAAAAGGACATATTTACATTACATGCTGCTTTGTCACTTGCAGACACAGTCATGGAGGTACTCATGTCCAATAAAACATGAAGAGGCCGGGCCTCATCAAAGACTTATAAAGGGATATTTTTGTAATTTAGCTGTGGACTTCTGTGAGTCTTTAGAGATTTTCCAGAGACAGGTTTGCAAAAGAAGTAGAACCTTTGATATTCTGACAGTCACTCTGACATTTTTGAGGTCTCAAAGCATAAGTACAGGAGATAGCACTATAGTTTTCAGGCCTGAAGGACACGTTTTGGTTTTGTTAAAACTGACGCTAAACCAGGTTAACATTTTTTTTCCGTTAACAAACTAAGCATCAGTATCAGAGGATATATCATAGTTTCCATCTCAAAATTGCACCTATTTAATGTCTATGACTTGGAGCAGAAGAACAAACTAGTGCTACATTCAGCATATGTTTGATTGATGAGCAGACTTCACTGTTCACCCAGCTGATACTTTTTATTTTTTGAATTGCTCTGTGTGTGTGTGTGTGTGTGTGTGTGTGTGTGTGTGTGTGTGTGTGTGTGTGTGTGTGTGTGTGTGTGTGTGTGTGTGTGTGTTCTGCAAATGGATTGCAGCTAACTCTTCTTTAATGACCCTTCTCTACACCAGGAGCGTGGAGGGATAGAAGAAATGCCAGAGCCTAAGGACAAGGTGCAGGCTCTAAAGGATCAGGTGGATGGCGTGAAAAGCATCATGACTCAGAATGTGGACCGGATCCTGGCACGAGGAGAAAGGCTGGATGACTTAATGGACAAGACAGAGGATCTGCAAGCAGGGGTCAGTGTGATCACGAGAGTTTTAACTTTCACTTGGCTGTGTGTAAAAGCAGGCTGAGATGTGGACAATACTCCCATACATGCACACTCGTAAATAAAGCTTGGTAAGCTGTGATCTTAGTGATACTGTTCAGTTAAACAAGAATAACAAGTCACTTCGGGCGGTGTCAGGTTCTCCACATAACAGAACAGAACAGGTGAAGTGTGGCCTTTTTCATGCCCTTATTCAACTTTAAGGATTTTACAAAGTCAACTGTGTAAAATGTAAATAAAACCAAATGAGGTCAACTATAGTGTCCCCTAGCAGTAAAGCTAATTACTCTTTTGTCTGTTTTGTTATCCGTTTGTACTCTTGAGGTTGTGGTTGCAGCAGGAAAAGACTTCTTAGAGCTTAAACAGTTGTATTTGACCACACTCACCTTCCATTTTCATTCATGGAAAAACAAGATCTCAAACACAGTAATAGCATTCATTTCCTAATCAGGCTTAATGTTAAGGCCATAGATGTGTAAAAGACGGACATGGTTACTGTGACATCTAATGAGGAGTATAAGGGACACATTAGGAAAAATTATTATTATTATTATTATTATTATTATTATTATTATTATTATTGTGGTGAGGAGAAAAAAAGAGAAATGTTTTCCTTGTAACTATACATCTATACAACGATTTGACATCTTAGTTTATGTTCTTATCTTATGTTTAGCTGATCCATCTTCTTCCCTTAAGCCTCATCAGAAATGGTCTCAGTGGCTGGGTGGATGCCAAGTAGCCTTTTTTAAGGAAGGGAAATGGGAATTAAAAGCTGAGGCATGCCACATTGCACCAGAGCTGCACTGAAAATCAGTGGCAATAGCTCTTATGAAGTGATGAATTCAGATGTTTTGGTTTAAGTGCTCATCAGCTTTTACAGAGGAGGACAGGACAGAGGTACAACAGTGAGTGTCTGCACACATCTGTAAAAAAAAAAACAATGAAGGCTCTGTCAATGTTTGGCCCTGCATTTCAGTCATTGATGCTGATGGAAATATGAACACAGAAGATTACTGTTGGCTTTAGATCCACTATGCAATATTGTCTGGAAAGCATCTGATTTGTAGAAAAACACACAGAACGAACACCATCAGTCGTGGATTGGTCTCCACAGAGCCCAGACTGGAACATCGCTGAAGCAGTGCGGGATCATCCGGTCAGAAGACAAAAGGCAGAAACATCCAAAGAAGAGTTCGAATGTCTTTCAAGAAGCCTAAGAACTATTCCTGAAGACCACTTAAGCAAAGCTGCCTAAGAGACTCCAGACTGTGTTGAAGAATAAAAGCGGTGGTATCA